TGACATCTTTAATTACTTCATTGTAGTTTCCTGTGTCATAAACACATTGATCAAAAGCAATAAATCGAAACATAGTGTCACTTTAGCTCCAGTCAACTAATCATGTTTCTTGATCAAAATAAAGGAACTAAACCCATTTACCTTTTTTGCTTTTTCCACTACCTGAAATTTATATTATTTATCAATTTCAAGTATAAAGTCTGTTTATCAGTTTTCTGGGCTGTCCAACTCCAAAATGATTCTAATTGTTTTTGTGAGATAAAAACAAAAGAAAAATGTTACATCAAAAGGAATAGCAATGTTATATAAAAACGTTGCAATTGTGTAAGGTTAGCAACTTAAACATTTCATATCACTCTTCTCACACAGATCAAACAAAAATTACGTATGCATTTTTACTGTGAATATTTGCAGTCAGTTAACACCACTCTGAATCATTGTTCATATGCAATTCATAAAGTTGAAATATGTATTCCAACTATCAGACATGTTGTTTTACAAAATTTTGTCACATGTGATCTTTTCGAACCAAAACAGATGAGAAACCTTGTTTTCAAAGCCATGAAAGTCTTGAAAAATGGGGAAGATTCAAACAAGAGATAATGAGGACATAGTAAAAATGTAAAGGTTTCCCTATCAGTCACGTACGACTCTAGGAGGTGATTCTCATGTTTTCTTGACCGAGGAAGCAGCGTTGTCTTAAGATAATTTCCGTGGTCATGGGCAGCATGGCTGTATCTCAAAGGCACATGAAATTCTGTTACCTTCCTATCAAAGTGGTACTATTAAATTACTGCATTTGCATGCTTTCAAAACTGCTAGGTGGGATGGCGCTGGAGCAGGAAATGGGAGCTCACAACCATGCGTGGCACTCTGCTCTCAAACCCAGCCGTTAGCTTTCAGCTGACAAAACTCAGTGTCTTTAACTGCTGAGCAAGGACCTAAGCCTGGAGAAAATGTAGTTTTTTTTTTTTTATTAAACTTCAAAAAATAGTCAATAAAAATCAGTGTTATGTATTTATGTTTTGTCTTTTCCTTTGCTTTTGTCAATACTAAAGTACCATGCTTTGCTCATAACTTAAAACTGAGCATACGGTATATCAAAATAGTATACTCTATGCTGTATTTTTCAAAATAAATAAAATACATTTATATATTCAAATTACTTATGAAATAAACATTATTCTACATGTTTTAAACAGAGGAAATGTACAAAATGACAATGCAAATCTAACAAGAATCAGTAGGAATTAGGAATTAGTTTCAGCAAAGAATATTGGTCCACATCTGTAAATGTTTTGTCTATTAAGTTCCATAAGACAACTCAAGGCTTAGCAGAAAAGCATTACATATGTAGACAATGAATGCAAAGGAAATGGAGGAAATAATTAAGAAAAAAAACTCAGGAAGAAATAGTGAAGATATGAAACTTCTATCAAGCTTCAATCAGCACAAACTTTGTGAACTAGAAAATTTCTTTGCTGGTAGTGTTTAGTCACACACAAAAACAAATATTCATCAAGCCATAGCAATGAATAGAAGGTTTGTTTGATTATATTATCTGGGAAAAGAATGAACAGTAAAAAGCTAACCCAAATAGTAAGTTACTTATGTGGAAAGTCCAGGTCACAGAAGAGCAAATTTCAAACCTTGTGCTTTCAGCATGATAGAAAATCTAAGTATGGTACTTTCAAGAGCAAAATAGTAAAAAAGCAATGCATTTTTTTAAAAAAAAACACATATAATATTTGATGGGTTTTATATTTTAACAGTTCTTGCAGTTTTAACATTTGGTCCCTTTTATTGTTCTATCTGCAAAAAGTAAAAACCTATATTATTTCATTAATAATACTAGACCTTAATATATAGAAAGAATCAATTAGGGGAGAACGGAAAGAAAAAAGAATCACATACATAAAGTAGCATGGTATGAAATCTTTAAGCTTCCACCTAGTTGCCTGAGTGGAATTGATCAGCCTTTGTTTTAGCCTAAAATAAAAGGACTTTTGTCTAAATCAGCCAGTCTCCAATCTTTCCAGCTCGGTGGACAAGCAGAGGTGGCCCGGGGGGGGGGGGGGACAGGAGGGAATGGTTTTGTGTGCACACACACTTGTCCACCATTCTGCGGACCCGTTCCTAATGGGCTGCGGCCAGTCATCGGGGCCACAGATCAAGGTTGCAGACCCCTGATCTAAACCATAAAAACTGGCATCTCAAACCAAATCATATATGATTTTGGGTACATGGGAGAAATCAAATGAGAGATCGGAAATTAATTGTTTAGTCTTAAATGAGATGTGAATAAACCATAGCCAACAGCTGCTGCTGAGCTACTATTCCTAATGTTACAGGCCATGTTACTGTAACTCAGGGGTCTTCAAACTTGCCCTTTTATGACTTGTGGATTCAACTCCCAGAATTCCTCAGCCAGGCACGCTGGCTGAGGAATTTCTGGAGTGAAGTCCACAAATCATAAAAGGGCCAAATTGAAGAACCCTGCTGTAACTGAACATCAAAGAGGATAGTTTCCCCATTCCTACCAATCTATCTTCATGCTTGGTCTGAATAAGATAAGAGTGCCACATACACTGTTTATCGGCCCCCAACCCAATATAACTTAGTGTAGGATCTTCCTACTAAAACTAGGGACCCCAATAAGCATATCTTGATTCTAAGAATTCCTCTACAGTCCAGATGATCCCATATACATTGTTAGAAAATTAAAAATGATGGAAGGCTGTGGTCAGTTACCGGGGGAAGAAAAGAAAAGCTTAGGGTGGGGGTAAGGAGTAAGAAACATTCTACAAAAAGAAAAGACTAAAGACTTAACTATTACAATATGCTCTCAGTGGAGCTGACTTGAAGACACCCAAAATGGACCAGAATGCAGCAGAAGTGTGGGCAGTGAAGAGCATACTTCAGTATGATCATTAACCCCTCTGATTCCCTAGCTATATTGGTGTATGGTGCTTCTGAATGATGATAAGATACTGGCCATTAGTATAAAGTTCAACATTGCATAAGGGCCCAGCTGTTTGAGGGAACCATATGTTACCCACAGTATCTCCCTGGCTAATTCCTGTGATTTAAAAAACACCATCTATAGCAGTGCCTGCCCTTGGATGAGATTTCCACAACGATCCATATAGCCCACATCCTGCTTATGTTTCAAAGGTCTTCAAGACCAAGGGCTGCTCAGGCCTTTGAATGAGAAGTGAGGCCACTCTTTGGATGTCAAGTAGTCTCAAAACTTACAACTATTCACTTAGTGACCTTTGAAGTTACAGTGCTGAAAAAGTGACCATATGACCATTTTTTCACTTAATGCCATGCTGCAGACTCCCATGGTCCCATGATCAAAATCAGATGTTTGGCAACTGGCTCAACTTATGATGGTGTGTGGTTTCCCTTTTGTGACCCGACAAGCAAAGTCAAGGGGAAAGCAGAGTCATTTGACAACCACATTAGTAAGCTAACAAGGATTCACTTAAAAAACTGTTCGGTAAGAAAAGTCATAAAATAGGGCAATTTCACTAAACAACAGTCTTGCTTAGCAACAGAAATTTTCGGGCTCAATTATGGTCATAGTTTGAGGAAAGCGATATGTGGGTTTGTTTCATATGGTTTTTTTGTCACCTATCCCTCTTCACTCCTCTTCTTGTAATGGGTATTTTTTTGTTTAATGTTTTTTTTAATGTTGAGAGTTGGATAGCATGTAAATTAAAGAATAATAATAATAATAATAATAATAATAATAATATAATAATTGGCAAGTAGCCCTCTAATAGATTTACAAAGTATGTCATCAGAACGATAAATGAAAACTCCGCAGAATATAAATTAAATAATTTTTTGAGTTTAGTTATAACTTTATATTCTCCTAGTAGATACAATAGTCACTGAGTTACTCCTACGGAGATCAGTGTTATACTTCCAAATATTTAATATTTCATTGTGTTCTCTCTCTTCTCTCTCTCTCCCTCCCTCCCTAACTCCCCCCTCCTCCCTCCCTCCCTCACTCCTCTCTCTCCTCTCTCTCTCTCTCTCTCTCTCTCTCTCTCTCTCTCTCTCTCCCTCTGTCTCTTGCAATCATTATAATCAGTTTATAATAAATTGCCAGTCCTTTTTTGGCAGAACATTTATAATGTGAAACATGTCTTTTTGCTGTAATAGTTTTTCAGACTCCATTTATGCAGATGTTCCTGCAGTCTTGATAGCCTTTTTTCACTGTGCATTCTAGTTAGGACTGTTCTGGACACTTTGTGACCAGCTTCTTCTTCCTGGAACTAGTAGGAAGTGCTTTGTATTATTCCTAGAGATACCCTCTCTTCACTTGTTCCCAATACTGAAGCGAGAATTAGAAAATCAGTTTAAGAACCTGGGCCAGGGAAATCTTGCTTCAAGTTTCCACCTGGTCATGGAGCTAACTGAATAATTTTTTATTTCCCAACTTATTTCATGGATATTTTGGGGATAAACTAAGATAGAACTCCATAGAGGATTTTGAATCAGAGTTTCGGCCATTTGGGCATTTCAATTCCCTCTTGAGTTAAGATTGGATCTCAGGAGAAGTTGGCCTAAAAGGGTCAGATAATCAGATAGTCCTGCCATCTATCTGGTAGGACTATAGGTGTCGTGCCCTGCGAGGCCGTCAGGATGTGGTGGGGACCCTACCAGTTAGCTTCGCCACTGTCCAAACGACCCGACCGATGCCCTCCAAACGACCCGACTGACAAGGGCCGGTATGGTGTTGCCGGCTTTTCTCTGCTACCCGACTACGCGGCTGCATCCTGTTTGTCCTGTGTTGGTCGGCCATTCCCAGAGTTCTTGGCGGCGCTGCAGCACACCTATGATGTCATCTTCTGGTGTCGCTTTACGACCGAGGCAGCGTATTTGGAGCTTTGGAGCCTCGCAGGGGACGACAAAAGACTGAGGACAGTCATCGGACATGGGGCTGAATGGATTGTCAGGAAGGATGAAGGGTGCGATGGGCGGGGCAGTTATGAATTCACAACTGGATGGTGGTTTGTTGGGTGTTGGCTGGGTGGGGTTGGTTCTGGTGTGGGTGGGGCAGGTAGACTCTGTATGTAAAGGCACGGAGAATAGGTGATTCTCAGTGCCAACTTTTTCCCATCTACGTCTTGTAGTAAACTTCAGTTTGTTCTTCGTTCCTGTTTGCTGCTTTTATTTTCCTTTGCAAAGCACCAAGCTAGGACGTTGTAACAGTAAGTCGGCACTCACATTTTTCTTGCAATATTTTCATCTCCCTGTTCCTGTTAGCGGAGTGCTTCCAGGGTGGTCATGGCAGAGGGAGTCCAGGACGCTGACCCAGTGAGGGAGCTTCTGGAATCACCCACAGACAAGGGAATAATCCTGGAGGTGAGGGCAGTGGAGGCCCTGCCAGCAGTGTGACCAAAAGAGTTTACCCAGCAGCTATGTGTTTACCCACACAGAAGACCTCCACAGCTACTTCTGGGGATTGGTGGCTGAGTTTGGCCCTGCAACATCCAGAGGCTGGTGGGCCATATATGACTGATGGGGGGATCCCCTGTCTGGATGGCGGGAGAGACGTGTTACGATGATGAGGAGTGGAGCTATTCTACGGCCCCTGGGCAATATACCTTGGATGTCCTTTGTGATAGGTTTGGGGAAACAGGCTATCTACCCAGGGCAGATGACACTCCAGGTTCCCGGGGCCCAGCAGGTTTGTTCTTCGTTGCTGTTTGAGGCTTTTATTTTCCTTTGTGAAGCACCAAGCTAGGACGTTGTAACAACAGGAAGCTACATTTGGGGCAATTATAATAAATCTCAATGGAATCTACTGGAAGATGGGGCAGCAAAATCCTGGTTCTTCAATCTCCAACCAGGAGCAGCTGCTATTCATCCCTTCAAGTTAACCTCTGCTGTTTTGCTGGGCAGTGGGCTTCTGGAGAACGTAGGCAGAGGAGAAAAACTCATTAGGTCAGTATCTTTCAAGGACTACCTCCCAGCCAGTAGCTTTTTACAAGCCGTGCTGCTTCTGCTTCTGCTCCAGGTGTACATGAGAGGCAAAGAGTCCTGTCTGAGAAGGACCAACATCTAGTTCAGGGGGTCTTCAACCTTGGCCATTTTACAACTTGTGGACTTCAACTCCTAGAATTCCTCAGCCAGCCATTCTCTTGTCCAATCCTCAGCTCAAGATGGCTGAGGAATTCTGGAAGTTGAAGTCCACAAGTCATAAAATGGCCAAGGTTGGGGACCTCTGATTCTAGCTGAAGCCACCATGACAACATTGCACCTTGGTGATGATGATGATGCTACGTCACATGTGACATCATTGATGCTCCTGGTCTCCTCTGATTATTAGAAGTAGGAAACGTTAGGCAGGGAAATGTTTTGAAACCTGCTAAGTCCAACTTGACACTGGCTTCCTCACCTGGTACCTTCCTGACAAGTTGGGTCAAGTGGCTGAGTACAACTGAAAGCTTTCAAAAACAGAGGACAGATCCTAATACTGTGGCCATAAAGTTCTATTTTTGAGATTGAGCCGTTCTACAGTGACCGTGATAGATATTACATCATTTCTTTTAGTTTTGCTTACAGCTTTTGCCCTTATTGTCCTAGCAAAGGAGTAGCTTGCCATGTTGGAGAAAGTGTGTGCGTAACACTACGTTAGAATCTTTGGCTGCTTGCAAATTATTAGTTGGCAGCACTAACATCTTTTCTTCTGGCAGATTGTATGGCCATTGTTGACTACAATATTGCTAAATTTTGCCTAACAACTCTGAGGACATGGCAGCAAATATTAGTCAACATTGCTGAGGTCTTTTAAAACTGTTAAATATTCTTTTGTTCCTTCTAGTTCAGCGGTTCTCAACCTATGGGTCGTGACCTCATTTGGGGTCGATTGACTATTTCACAGGGGTCGCCAAGCAAGGCTGTCTGCCATTTTTTTCCCCTTTTCTGGCAGGTGCCTTACCTCCCTTGGGCTGGGCCAGCTGGTGGCCCAGCCGGTGGTCGGCTTGCTCCGTCTCTGCCGCTTGCCAGCTATGCCTCGGCCAGCACAGGGGGTGGCACCATGCATGCGTGGTGCTCCTGGGCAGGGAAAGTCCTCGACTTACGACCGGTTGGGTAGTCCTCAACTTATGACTGGTTTAGTCCTCAACGTACGACCGGTTGGGGGTCACGGCATTAAAAAGGTTGAGAACCACTGTTCTACTTCCTTCTTTGCTACTGTTGAATCTTATTATGATGGATTTTAGGTGCATCTGCTAGTCAAATAAGCAAATGAATAAAGAAAAAATAAGGCCACAAATAAAGTCTTAGTTAGTTATCAACGTATTTTCTAAAATGTGACAATGTTCAGTGGGTAAATAAATTGCAGTAATATGAAACTCAGCAGTTGTCTCTCAATACTGAATGTAGTCAGACTGCATTCCCATATTTTAAGAAAAGGGAGAAGGGGAACAATATATTTGAACAATGGGAAATCTGTGGCCATCCCGAACATTTTCCCAGCAATTTTATGTGAATGTGAATTGCCCACAACATCTCAGTGTTCTCATAGCATTTTGGTGATCTCTGATTGGTGAAACATGGACTGGTCAAGGGGGGAATGGAGACAGGAACTTTTTCTGTATCTTGTTCATGCGGGAAAATCTTAGAGCTAGCCTGACTTTACTGCAACCCGCTTCCTTCAGTAAAAGAACCTATTACTTCAACCTAATGGAGTCGAGGGTCTTTCTTTCCTAAGGGATTAGATTGGGGCAGGTCTGGCAGTTGGTCACTGGGTCCAGAAGTTTACTCTTCCAAGCTTTGGGACTCATGCTGGAACCATCTCCAGAGAATTCCTCTCTACTGGAATATTGGCTAGTTTAGACTATTCTGTGAGTTGTATTTATGTGGTGCCTTCCAGTTGGTTAATTGGTATATTGATGGCTGGCAATTGGCTGTTGTTTCCTTGTGCTCACAACTCCTTGGCTCCTAAGTAACTGATAAACTGGTGGTACATCAGCAATCCTGTTAACTGACAAGAAGCCTGTTTCCCAGGCTTCAATCATTTCCTTGGCCATCTTTGTACCAGCTCGGCCAGTAATAGTTGAGAAATTAAATGAGTGTCCTTGTTTATTGCAATGAGTTTGGGCCTCCTTGTCTGACCGCTCACTTGTGTTCTTGCAATGTGGTAGTTAATTCCTCCCTGTCTGTCCTACATAGTCAGAGGGGCAATCCATGCAGGAGATCTAGTATATCTGGTAGATTTGCCTTCATTCATGAGTATCATGTAAATGAGTATTGCGTAAAAATAACAAAGGCAGGATAAAAATCTAATAAATAAATACATGTGATGTCAGGCCAATGTTCTCTTGTTTCTTGTTCCAGAGGAAGATGCAGGCCATGGACCACCAGCTGGCACGGCAGCTGATGGGGCTGCGGGCCCAGATCCACCAGCTGAAGGTGGAGCAGGCCTGCCATCACCACAAAGAGATGCTGGATGATGTCACCTTTGAACTGGAGGGCAGCGAGGAGGACTTGGATCTGCTCTGCAACATTTCCCCCAAGATGGCCTTCCTCTTGTCTACCCCTCTCAAGCACATTGGAGTCACCCGCATGAATATAAACTCCCGCCATTTCTCCTTGTGCTGATGGACCTTCACCCCTTTGCATGCTTGCTTGGGTCTTGTGGCTGTTGGCAACCAGGGAGTATCTTGGCCCCCATTGCCTGCACCTGTAGATTTTGTGCCCGTGTAGAGCAACTGGTGTCTCACCTGGCTGATCTGCTCTGGGCTCAGGAACGTATCAGGACAGGCAACCTCAGGGAGGTGAGCTGGGAGACAAAACACATCCTCTCAGGGAGGGAAGTTTTGCTTCTTAGGAAAAGGAGATGAAAAGCAGAGAGCAATATGGACCAAGAAGGATCATTGGTGTCCTATTGGTGATTCACAGGACTAAGAAGGGTATGGAGGAGAACAAATTCCAGTCTGCAGGTTCAGAGAAGGCCGATGCATGCATCAGCCGGCAAGGCATGAAAAAAGGGGCAGAGTTCACATGCTGCAGATTGACTTTTTTGATCTCCCCTCCCTTAAGGTCTTCTCTGCTGTGGTCCTCTGGACCTGGCCAAGGATGCAGGAGGGGCAGTGACCTCAAGAGAAAAAAAATTGCTGGTCGACGTGTCTCTTTTAACTGAAAGGCTGATCACCCCTTCACTCCTCCTCATTTATTTTGCCCATGTATGTTTTAAAAGCTTGCTTACTTTTTATTGTATGTCAGTTGATGTGGCTTTGAGAAGCTACAGTCAGCAAAACACTTTAAAAACAGCAATAAGAGGTGCATCACTTGAATATTGTGTGTTGTTTATGAATGTATACCTTTGTGCTCTGCCTCAGCCCGGCTCCACTTCATCTTTAGACCAGTTGGTCTTCTATGGTATTTCTAAGAGCTTTCCTCTTTTCCTCTCTGTTTACAAATTCTAAAATGGAGCAGGAAACGAGCACCAATCGGCCCCAGTTCAGAGCGGCTTTCTCTTTTTCGGATTGTGTTCTAATTGTGCAAGCTGTTCTGTTTAGGGTGTGAGAAGGGCACTAATTCCATGGTCCCAGGGAGCACAACAATCAGCCCTGCTTCGATGTAAGCCTTGGGTGCAGGTATTATACATTGCAAGAGCCAAGAGTCTCATGCTATGTGAGTACAAGTAGGCCTTGACTTATGACCGGTTGCTTAACGACCATTCAGAGTTATGACCTGCCTGCAAAAAGGCAGTGATGACACAGTTCCAAAGTTCCTGTGGTTGTCCCCCCCCCCAGCAGTCATGTGATCACACTTTAGGTACTCAGCAACACTGTCCATTTACAGCTGTTTACAGTAACCACGCTTTACGATGGTTTTGCTGAAAACTTTAAATGTTCCTGTTGTGATGGGTAATGGGGTCATACATTATTACTGAAAGAAAAGCCACTTTTATCCAATTTTGGGTAATTTCTTCAGATTTGGGAAGCACGGCTATAAAGGGTATTTCCTCTGTTCAGTGACTTTTCTGACACACCTCCATAAACACACCACGTCCTTCTCAGCCCTATCCTTGCCATTTTTAACTGAGTGTGCAAACAGTGCTTTTGTGGTTACATTAGCAAACTTGGCACAATTAAGTAAATACATAAAAAAAACCCTCCAGAAATCATGATTCTCTTGCTCGTTGTGATCTCTGCTCGTTTCTACTGTTCTCTCCTTTGCAATATTCATTATTATCAATCTTTATTATGGTTTATTAGTCAGCAGGAAGCAAATGTAACCATGTGGTTAAATGTAACTCTGGATCAATGCTTTTCAACCTTGGCAACTTTAAGATGTGTGGATTTCAATGTCCAGAATTCGCCTGCCAGCATGGATTAGAACTATGGGTTTAAAATAAATAAAAATAATGCATAGAAGAAATTTCAACTGAAAGGAATATTAGGGACAGAAAAGGCCAAGGTTAGTGAGTCACAATAAAGCAAGAGTCCCCTTAAAAATGAAACTAAAAAATTCAGAGTGAAATCCACTTACAAATCAGCCTCTGATAAACCTAGCAGGAAGATATAATGATTAACTGAATACAGAGAAAACAAAGAAAAGTCTAAGACAAAAATCAGTGCTAAAGCTGAGGTCAAGCCATGTTTGGCTAACCGTGATGAATTGTGTTCAGTTCGTCTTAGTGATGAACATAAAGATTATTTTATATGCATCCATACGGAGCTAAGCTAATTGCCCATAACCTCAAGATTATTGTCTGAAAGGGGGAAATGCTTTGCAAGATTGCCATTGGTATTGTTCTTGTCCCTAGTCCCGAAAAGGAAAAAGTTCACGCAAGAGCAACTAAAATGATGAAACTGGAGTAGGCAAGTAAAAGAGAGGGGCCAGAGGCTTGGAACATCGGGCATGGTATGCAAAATGTGGGAAAAGCCATTCTTCTTCCTTTTTCACAATTCAAGGCAGAGTTAATTTATGCCATCACATATGGCGACCATCCCTGGTGTATATAGGTCTAAAGAAGAATTGGACATGGAGAATCAGGCCGTCCGTAGCTACCATCCTTAATCATGGCACCTTCTTGAAAGTGGTGGATTATTGTAAACACTGTCTATAGGGGAGAACACAGAAAGGGGTTGGCTGCTCTGAGGGAGCTGCTTGGTGGACCAAGTGGGCCCTTGGATTGTAGTCCTCCTTTCAGAATGTCCATGGAGGACTATCAAAACAGACACCCCTGCTTTCTTCCTCCTGTTTATTTATTTATTTACTGTACTATCGAATTTATATTACTGCCCATCTTGGAGATGTGACTCTGGGCAGTGCACAATAAAAAAAAATTAGAACAAGTCTAAAATCTAAAATTAAACCTTCCTCCCTCCCTCCCTTCCTTCCATCCATCCTTCCCTCCCTCCCTCCCTTCCTCCCTTCCATCCTTCCCTTCCTCCCTCCCTCCTTCCCTTCCATCCCTCCCTCCCTCCCTCCCTCCCTTCCTTCCTTCCTTCCCTCCTTCCTTCCCTTCCCCCCTCCCTCCCTTCCGGAAAAAAAAGACAGAAAAGCTGCACACAGTTTTCATTGGATCCATTCTGTGCGCAAGTTCTTGTTTTTTCCAATCTATTCTCCGTCCTCATCTCTCCACCACAGAGTCCAGTGCCCTGGTTTATTTTTTATTTATCCTCCCCATCTTAGCTAGTTATTTCATTGACATCTTTTTGTGAGAAACAAACATTTCAAGTGGGACTTATTCATCATCATCATCTGCAAAACTCCCCCCCCCAAAGCATTTTGTTCCAGAAAATGTCCATAAAGACTGTCCCATTCCAAATGAAAGAACAAACTTGTGAGTCACTCAGCCACCAAGTGTTGGGTGCGACTTATGAATGAAGCTTAAGTAGTAACAATGTCAGGATGAGGGGCCAAAAATCAATGTGGGGAGCAGGGCAGTCATCTGAACTTGGCTGGGGTTGACTATGTCACATGTCTCATTTTTTCAGGTCCAGTAGAAGAGCAATTTTTTGCATTGTTCCTGGCTAGTCAGCTGCCCATTCAGAAGGGAGAATCACCTCTGGTGATCCCTTTGGACCAGATCTACAGCCTGGAGCTCCCCTGACACTTATGTGAATGTCTGGAAGCATTGCTGAAACATTCTTTGAATCCATGCCCTCTCTTTCTTCTTCCCACTGTAATGGTTCCCAGAATTCAAAAGGCACAACCCGTGTCATGTGTCAAGGGTGCACACGTGGTGGCTCAGGAGATCCATAGAGGGCCAGCTGCAAGATTCAGCCATAGAACTACAGAAGGCAGGGGGTTGACATTGGCAGGAAACTTTTGGGGTTTGTAAACTGCTTTAGAACTTTTGTGGTCAGACAAGTGCTACAAACACACTTCTGGTGCTGTCTCTGCAGAGATCTTAGAGGGCAGGAAATCAGCAAGAAAGGTGGCAAGAGAGAGAGAGAGAGAGGAGAAAGAAGTGAAGAAATCTTTGTTCTTTTCGTCTGCAAAGTTCTGTCTCTGTCTAAACAGTTAATGTGGATTAACTCTGCAGTGTGATGAGGAAGACCTTTCCCTCCCTTTCAAATTGTGGGAACCACGGAGAAACTGGTTTCTCCTACCCTGACTAAAAGTAAGTAATGGAGAAGAACCGAAAGAGGGCTTTGTTCCAAACCCAAGACCACAGGGCTGGGCAATTGCGGCCCCTTCATGACTCGTGGATTTCAACTCCCAGAATTCCCCAGCCAGCAAAAAGAAAGCCTTGGCCTTTCCTTGCCTCTCTAGGTGGAATTTTCTTCCAAGGGAGCTCCTCCAGATGTTCTCCTAACATTTTCATCTTTGAGAGTTGTAGGTCACCATTTGAGGAAAAGTGCTTGGGCTATAAGGGAATATTATTGTTTACGTAGCTTTTTTGTTTGTTGGTGTCTAAGGATTCCATTCAACACTGACTCTCTAGAAGTTGTAGTTAAATGAGTGGTTTAATTACTAATGATAACTATCTGATTTGTAAACAAGAAGTAGAAGATGTTATAACTGCAATCTTTGTCCAAAGGCGCTTTCTTTCAAAAATGCAATTGGACAGAAGAAAGTCCAGTTGCCTTTTTGAAAGAAAGCGCCTTTGGGACAACCATGACTTGGATGACTGAGAATCTCTGAAGACCGCAATCTTTTCCCCCTATTTTTAAATTAAGGAGATATATATGAAGTGTGTTAAGTTTGCATGTGTACGAGGGAGAGATACTAACTATATTTGGGCATTTGTTCAACTTACATCTTTTGCTTGGGTTGAGTTTTCAAGTCACCTTACAGCATAAAGCATGCAATCAACACAATAGAAGATGGGCTCATGGCAAACAGGCACATCTGTAATATAAAATATATGTGATCAGTAAACAAATGCTTGTCTGTAGAAATATTATGATGGGGAAACAATGCAATTTTATTGATGGGGAAACAATGCAATTTAGTGACAGCAAAAAAGACATCAGAGAAATACAAGGGGCAAGGAAATGAATTTAGAGATTACATGAAATGTTAGATAGACAACTAGTTGTCTTCTAAGTGTGTTGAGCTTCAATTGCTTTCAAAATCCAGCAAATCTGTTAGGGAAGGAAGATACTACACGTAGCTTACAACCACTCACTGAGCGACTGGTTACAATGGCCCTGAAACAGTGACATACAACCGGTCCTCACACTTATGACCATTGTTCTTAACAACTATCACAGCATTCCCATGGTCACATGATCAAGATTCAGGCACTGGCATGTATATACAATGGTGGTAGCATCCTGGTCATGTGATCACCATCTGGGGCCTTCTGACAAGCAAAGTTAATGATAGAATTCAGATTTGCTAACAACTGTTTGAATTACCTAACTGTGGTGATTTGCTTAACAATCAGCAAGAAAGACTGTACAATTGGATGCAACTCTCTTAAGAACCACCTTGCTTAGCAACATAAATTCTGGTCCCAATTGCATTTGAAAGTCAAGGACTACCTTTACTCTCTAATAATTTAGTTTCAAATTAGCAATATCTTGCAGTTATATTGCAATGTAGGATACCGTACCTTTCTAAAAATCAGTGTCCCTGAATTTGGGTGGGAAGGCGACTTTGGGCCTGTAATTTTCTCCAAGCCCTAGCAAGAAGGCAAGGACAATCTACCCATGAACACTGTTATCAAGAAAATGTCCAGATAGTTGCCTGTGATCAAGACTGATCTGAAAGCACACAACAATAAAACCTTGCTCTGGGACCTGTAGTGATCCTGCCAGATTACCTTTGTTCACTTAGAGGACAATCTCATTCTCTTTGGATTGGTCAGAAATACATCCCAAAGTGAATAAGGTAATTTATTTGGTAAATATGCTTAAACTACTTGCAATTCCCCTTCATCCATTTAATTCAGATTTTGTGCCAAGTCAGATGATTGTCTATATTTTAAGACTCCATTGTGTTTTTTTCTAAGCCTTCTAGAGAGATGTGAGCCACCCTCCCTCCAGTTCTTCTTTGAATTTCCATTTAACAATCCTCTCATTTAATTCTTCTTTGGGGGCTTTATTCCATGCACTATATTCTAATTTACTATTACATTTGATGCTAGATAAAAGCCTTTTACTGAGACTGAGAGGCATGCTTTATATTTTGTGGCCCTCTACTGACAGCGTTTAGCATCACACAGTCTTTAGGATAAAGCTATTCAGTAAATCTGCACAAACTAAAACCCATGACTCATTCACCTGAGGAATTTTGCTTCTCAAGATGCATCCTTCTGGACTTGAATACCAAAGGAATGAATGCTAAAATTACATTTACTGCAGAATTTAGTGTAACAGAATTTCACAAGACCTTTTCCTCAAGGTTTTTTTTTTTTTTTTTTTTGCAGCTCATTAGAAATCATTCTTTTGCTTTATCCTAAGGATCCTTTTCTTGCTCCCGAAAGTAACCAAAGTGACCACATTACAGTTTCGGAAATTTTTGTTTACTGGTTTGAGCCAGTTTGGTGTAGTGGTTAAAGCATTCGGCTAAAAACTGGGAGACCATGAGTTCTAGTTTGTTCAGCTAGAGGCCAGTTCGGTGACCTCTCTCTCTCTCTCTCTCTCTCTCTCTCTCTCTCTCTCTCTCTCTCTCTCTCTCTCTCCCTCCCTCCCTCCCTCCCCCCCCCTCTCTCTCACTCTCTCTCTCTCACACACACACACTGAGGAAGAAAGTAAGGG